TGCATTCGAGAAGATATAGAATCAGATAGGAATCAGTGTGATTAGATAGCTGTGAAGGCAGAATCAGTAGCCAAGATGTGGGTATAAGATAAGCCCTGAGTTTTCCCAAGTGCTTAATTTGAGCAAATGGTTCTAGGGGTCAGCTGTTGTGCCAGCAAAATTCACCCAATATAACCATTGGGGCAAGCATTGGTGACATTACCAAACCAACCTAGCAACAAGGAGGCACTGTAACCATCACAAATTCATTTTTTTAAGAAAATGCCAGTTCATAATTTTATTGTACATCACTTTCAATGTAAATATTATACACTGTTTTTCATTAAAGGAGTTAATAGAAGAGGAGGCACCAAATTAGAAGTATTTAAGTTGGGTGCACAAATGTTTTGTTGGAAAAGGTGGCCCTAAAAGAAGTTGTAGGTAAAGGCATAAAGGTTAAGGAAGACAGAACGCAGAACATGAGCTAGGATGACTAAAAACTAACGCTAATGGTGGAATATAAAGGGGCAACAGTAATTAAAGCCAGAGTCAAAAGATCAGAGGATATGATGGGATACATGGGTGGTTGTGGTAAAGTCGTGAATAGATCAGAACATGAGAACAAATAGTTTCAGTTTAATATGTTAAGCAAGGGTCAATCATGAAGTATAACAGTCATGGGTGATTTGTAATGCACAAGGTTTGATCTTTTGGTTTTTTTCAGTCTTGGAGCATGGAAATTCTGGAGCATGGGAGACTAGCAAATTATTGGAGAAATCAAACTAGACATGACAAAAGCAAGAATATGGATGGAGGAGACGAGCAAGAAGAGAGCCCAGGGGAAAATGTGCAGTAGTTGTAGAGTTGACGGTGAAATGTAAGACGTAGAGCAAAGGAGATGATGCCAGAAACTGCTGCATGCATGTCAATCTTAGGAACAAAGAGATCCGAGATATCGTTGCACTTGGTGATTTGGGTATTGATGGAGTGGTGCAAGATAGGGATCTGAGAAGCCTGTTAGTTATTGGAGGAAGAGAGCTTGAGGTTGACTTGCAATCCAGGATGATCCAGATATAGTGTACTGTTTTGAATGATAAGCAAGGTAAGATAAAACTTATTGTGGTGTAGATTTGGATAAAATACAAGGCCAAATGTGTGGCTCTCAGTTTCGAGGAAATGAAAATAGGATTACATTAAGAGAATATCTGGGCTGGGAGACAATGATGGATTTAATGAGAGCAAGGACATTAAAGGCACAGGGGGAATTGTTGAGCAAGTTCACAAAATAGAAATGTCATGCAGAATAAATGGGATTGATTGACAGAGAAATGTGGTTTCTTTACACGTTGCAAGTATATATTTTTAAAAAGACAATTAGATAATTCTTTATACGATAGCATACAGCTTATCCAAAATTAGGTCAAAAAGTCTTGTTTCCATTTAATAGCAAGAATTCAATCCTTAAATAATCCTTCAGTGAACATTTAAAGAGAAGCATCACTGTAAGGAGAAATGTGTTCGTATCATGTCTTTGCAGTAAAGTTGCCGAATAGAGTTGTGAAAATCAATCTTTCCTGAAAGCACATACATGTGTTTCACATACGTTGGTCAGTAGGATCTTCACTTTGTATGTCTACAATTAACTGCTGAATTCTGCATAGTTTGGAGTCCAAACGTACATTTTTTAAAAATTTCTCCTTTCAAGTCTTACTGTTATGTACATAAAGGATAAGTGCTTGACAATTCAAGTGCTTCATCTTACTCTCCCGCCTTGGCCTTTTAAGATCCCTTTTATTCCCCACCCCCTTTCAGCTAAAGGGTGAAGCATTAAGATGAAGCACAGATCATAAAATGTTAAAGGAGGGCTTGCAGCTGGCTTATCATCCTAAACATAAAGGATTTCTGTACTTTTGCAACAGATGCTTCTCATTGTGTACGACAGAGAAGAGTCTCTACCTTACTAAGACCATAAAAGAAGAATGGAGAGAAATTACATTAAAGCGTCTGAGATAAAGAATCAAGCACCTTAAGTGATAGGTCTTACAAATCAGTGTAAAGAAGGTGAAAACCAGCTTGACAACCTTGATGTAATAAAATCTGTTGGCTATATTGCCATGGTAATAGACTATTTAAAGTTTCACATTTGTAATTTGGTCAGTGATTGATTGCACACCCAACTAGCCACGGATTTGAAAGATGCTTGAGAGAAAATGAACTGCTAGGTAATAAGGAGCTAAAACTTTTTCAGTGTGTTTAGCAATGATTAGAGCAGCTTAAAGAGACCTCACTGGAAATGTACTAATGGGAAGAGGACTTAGACAACCTTCAGTAGTATTTGTTACAATGTCAACAATGACATTGACATATAGTGCCGTGACTATGAACCATCTGCAGGATGCACAATAGTGCCCTCAGTGTTCCTTGACTGGACTGGGAAAAAATACTACAGTTCAGGTTTTTGATCACTATGAAGTGATTTCTGGGATATTTATCTCTGCACAGCAAGTAAGCATAGAATTGGGCTGCGATATGATCCACCATGTGCCTGAATAATCTATTGAAACTTAGATTTAACCAAATCAGATAACTCACAGTGAAGATACTTGGTTATAATTGATAGCCTGAGAAACAGTGAACTCTGGCCTTACATAAAACTGTTCTTTGAAATGGCTGACAAATCTCTTCAAAACTAGCAGACTTGACCCCAGATGGGATAAGAACCTTGCACAACAGCAATTTGTATTTATATAACGGAGTGTACCATCCCAAAGCACTTCACAAGAATGTTCTTAAACAGAGAGAAGAGAATATTGGAGGATTATAAATAAATGCACCTTTATATTTGAACACGGCAAGATTGGAAGGAAGCAGCAGATATTTAATTCATATCAAAGAGAGAAGGACTAACATCCACATAATGCTTTTCACAACTTCAGACATCCCAAAGTGAAGAGCACTTTCTGAGTATTTTTCTAGTACATCACAGGTTTTTATTCATGGAATCGAAAAATAAACTTGAAGAAACTTCAGTTGTACTTAGCACAGTAAAAGACTAATGTAAAGGAACTGTTGTACATATTTAAGACCAAGTAGATGTTTTGGTTTTATGAAAAAGGGTAGGTCTAAACTGCAAATTTGATTCCCTCAGCTTCAAAGTGGTTAATTGGCTGAAAGGATGGGTAATACTGTGGCAATTTAGCATTTAGAGGATTTTCACAATTTATTTATTTTGAGCTGCTCATTAGTGAACTAGCTTTTCTATCTCTGACCAGTGGATATTGACACAGTAGTTCATGTAGAGAACAGCCAATTAAATATGCAAGGGAAATCATAAAAGATCAAAATAAAATTGAGGAAAAATTAACCAAGCTTAAGGGAAGTCAAGATGGTCTGGACTGAAACCAGGAGGGGGCAGGGCTGGAACAGAAAAAGAAAGGTTTAGAATTTGAAAGAGAAATAAGAGAAGCTGTTGAAGGAGGAGAAAAGGGAAAACATTTTATGATGGTGTGGTTAAAAGTGAAGATTAACCAAAAATTTGCATTCAGCTGCAAAAGGAGGAAGGGACATTAGGACTGAGCAGCTGTTGAGAAGTGGAACCAAAGTACATACCAACAAAATGGAAACATTGAAGGAATGGCTGAGGCTCCACGGTAAGTTATTTTAGGGAAAGGAGAAGAACTATGTTTTGTTTTCATCACAGCTTTATCATGGGCAAGTTCTTGGGAGGGTTTTGATGTTAAGGCTCCATTATCATACATTCAAGTTTCTGATGGATAAATTTAAGAATTGAAGGTTATGAATCAGAAATGTACCTGAATTAGTGGTAATTTTAATAGTTACTTGATCAGGTGGCCTATCAACAACAGATGCATAAAACATAAAACTCATGCCAACTCATGTATAAAACATTGCCCCATGTTAGGTTTCGTTTTGGTCATGCTTCTGTCCATCACCATATGCACCTTATGAAACTCAAAAATAAGATGCTTTATGCATAAAGGACATGGCATTATCCCTGGATCCTGGAAGTCCCTGAAAAATCTTAGTTTTTGCTGATCAGTAAAATCGGCAATTATCTATGAAATGGTCATCAGACTTTAACAGTCTGATGGTAAGAGGTAGGTGAGAGGTCCTTTCACATTGTGACTTGTTTCTGGGAGGGGTGCCACCTAGAAGGGCTTGGAAATGATGCCTTCTGCAGCTTGGTTGGATCCATGGAGCAGAGAATTCTGATGGTAGAACCAAGGACCTAGGAATAGGTGCTGGCAGTGAGATCTGTACCAGGGGATATCAGACAGTTCACATTAAGGAAAGATTATCAGATGTGCAAAATGATGACTTGCATTTATATAGCACCGTTAACAATGTTAAATTAACAATTAACCCTTATTTAAAAGTGTCCCCAGATACTTTGCAAGAATATTGTCAAATGTTTGACACTGAGCCACGTAAGGAGATATTATGGTGAGAAAGAGTGGGTATCAAGGAACACCCCAAAGAGATAGAAAAACAAAGGATATTAGAGTTTGCGGCTTAGACAGTCATTTGCATAACCATCAATGGTGGAGTGAAGTTTGCTGGTTCTGCTAATGCATTGAAAACCTCAATATGATATTGCAAGTAAATGGGAAAACGTAATTTGCATGTCTTTAAAATATTTGAAGTTTTGATTTCAGATTTGAATGATTAATATTAAAGACATGCAATGAAAAGCAATCAAACAGTACTCTCCTCAAAAACTGTATTCAATAGTGTGAAAGAATGAATGGAATCTCGGAAAGGCCAGTAAACACAGGCAAAGCACATTCGCACTTTGGATATGTATATTATGCTAAGAGACACATCAGTATGAGAGGAAGAGTAGAGGACAAAGCTTCCTCTCTCCAATCAGGGTCAAAAATCCAATGATGTATTCAAGTGCTTTTACATTGTAGGAATTTTCAAGTTGCATGCCTGAAAGCCCTGATTGAATTTGAGCATTCTATTCTGATGTTTTGCTTTTTTTATCCTCCATTTTTCAGCTTTTTGTTCCAGCTGAAGACGAAGCCATTGTTGGAAAGAGTGTGAGCAAACAGGTGTTTGAAGGGCTGACCACAGGGCTCCTGCATACCTGTGCTACTGTGCTTGGATGCTTGGCTAACCAACTTCCTGAGGCCAACAGCAATCCTGGGACGCCAAAGAAATTGGGGCAAGAAACAAAAAATAACCTTTCGCAGAGTGAGCTCTGCATCAGCAGGATTCAGGATCTCATCAGGTGAGGGCAATGACTGTGTAGGAAAGGAGGAGTGAAATAAATACAGTGATAAATGTGTTATCGTACAATACCCTTATCTACCTGCCCAGGAATGCCCAGTCAGTCAGAGCCTGTATTCCCTCTGGTATCTGTTTCATTCCTAATTTCTCCTGAGGCGCATCTTCCACTCATTACTTCCTTGCTGTCTGCAACGCTGCACCAAATCAATTTGCTTTGCTACTTCTGTTCCTGACATGAGAAACCCTGAAAACATCCATTTGTTCATCTATAATTTTAGTTTTCAGCTGTGCACAGATTCTTCCTTTTTTACATGTTGTGTAGAGGTAATCTGTTATATAATTTCCACATTACTTATTTCTGCCCACCCACCTCCTCCCAAAAAGCAGTCTCTGGTGTTTACCTTAGTTGACCTCATGGTCAGCTCCGTGGATAAACGTGCTGTATTTTGGAGGTGTGCCTCTTAATCTATAGTAAATTAACAAATCTGTGATCTTGTTGAGTGTTAAAAGAAAAAAGGATTCAATTTGAGTCTGTTCGCTAAGATTGGAAGAATCAGCCCATGTTCCTATTCCCAATCTTTACGTTCTTGTTACATATATGCCTCTAGGAATGTAAGAATGACAGGACCAAACTAGTGATGATTTTAATCCTATCACTTGGTCAGGTGGTTGATCAACAGCTCAAGTATAAAGCTCACACCAGCTCATCTACAAAACATTGCGTCACTAAGATTCTTTTGGTCAGAACTTTGTCCATCACTGTGTTTAAGACTCCTCCTGTAAAATTATAAGTACAGTTTCACATGATTAATACACAAGTGCACATTCTCCCCCTCAGGGATGCACTTCAATCAGCCAGGTAGGGAGTTGAGGTGCAGCCAGTCCTGAGTAACCCTGTGTGTTCACAAAATTGCAAACCACTAGAAGTTTAACCAGTCTCTGTGTAAATTGCCACTGCAGATAATTTGTAAGCTTCCTGCTGCTTGTCAAACAGGATTAGTTTACTTAGCGGGGCATGTACCTGCAGCACCTTCAGGACCCAAATGAGAATAACCCTAACCAAATAGATTTACCTTTCCTGGTTCCATTCATAGGCTAAGATGGCTAGTTAATCCTGAAACATTGCAGACCTGACTGGCTCAGCTATTGGATCATTACATCTGCCAGTGAGGGATGGATTATTTCCATATGCCACCACATTTAAGAATAAAAGTCGAGGATCAGAGCAGTAGAATTTTGAGACAAGTCAGGAGAACATTAATCCATCATCACTATACCTTCTCCCAGTGTATGAAAGAGTGGAAAAAGCTGAACTAAAATAAATTGAAGTGATTAGAAAAAAATGAGATTGTATGGGATGGATTTTTTAGAAGTATGGAATATAATAAAATGCGAACAGAACAGTACAAGGTACTGATAAGACTAAATTTGAAGTACTGAGTGTAGTTTCGGTCACCGTATTTAAGGAAAGATATCATTTCATTGGAGGCAGTTCAGAGAAAGTTCACTAGGATGATACCTGGTTTGGAGAGCGTGTTCTATGATAAAGGCTAAACAGGTTGGAACTGTGCTCACTGGAGTTTAGAAGAATGAGAGATAATCTCCTTGAGACGTGTGGGATTCTTAAGGGGCTTGACAAGGTAGATGCTGAGAGGCTGTTCCCCCTCATGGGAGAGCCTAGGACCAGAGGGCACAGTCTCAGAATAAAGGAAAGCCAATTTAAGACTCAGATGAGGAGGAATTTCTTCTCTCACAGGGCTGAGTGTCTTTGGAACTCCTTGCCACAGAGAGCAGTGGGGGCAGAGTGCTTGTGTGTATTTAAGGATAAATAGATAAATTCTTGATCAGTCAGTGAATCAAGGGTTATGGGTAAAACGCAGGAAAATAGCAATGAGGATTGTTGAATCAGACAAAATCCTATCAAATAACATGGCAAACTCAAGGGGTCTCCTATTTCTTACAGTCATTGGGATTACTATTTATAGCTTGAATCCAAGTCTTAAGAGTATCTGTTTTACAGACTCTAAAACTCAATGTACAACTTTAATAGAGCTCATTGATGTTCTTAAGACACCCAGCTGTTTAATTCTGAGTTTCTCAAGAGCACATTTGTCAATGAATTTTTTTTTAAGAAAAACATGTAAACCTTCCTAACCTTTGTTTCTTGCCTGAGATGTGAAGGTATTTCATGGCTGAAAAGGGTCGTATTTGAATTATGGACAAAAGAATGAAAAGGACAGTAATTATTCCCTAGAAGTCTCCATTGTGGTCTTTGCTCAACATTGTTCAGTATAGCCTGTGCAGGTAGTTCAGAGTAATGCATGGCAGCCATAGCCAGGAGCGTTCAGAAAGGCTGAGGTCAGAGTTTGTGCTGAATAAGCAACTGATTCTATAGTAAGGTGAGAAATGATTGAAGCAGACTTGAGTAGCCTAAGGGAAGGAAGTGTTTGAAACATCCAAGGCCCAGAACAATACATGAAGTGACAAATGCAGTTCCATTTTGACAGTTGCAGCTTCTTCTATGGTGTTGATTTGCACCATTGGGTTTCTCGCAGTTGCCAGCAGTGTTTGGGAGTCATTTGAATATTTCCAAGTTCTCATTGAGTTGGAAGGATCAATCTTTTAAACTTCTGTTAAAAAGAAGTGCTACTTTATATGTTCAATTTCCAGCAACCTGTGGTATTTTTCCTTTGTGTTACTATACTAAACCTGAAAGCAGTTGCTGCTACTGTTATTTTCCTTTACTGTTGATGAAAATCTATTATTAACCTAATAATCAATACTGAATCATAGGTAAGCTTCTGTCATTTGACTTGGTAGTCCTGTTTTATAGACACTGTTCCTTTTTCTTATGCAATAGTCACTGTTATTGCGCCAACTGCCGGGCTTGAGAGGGATAAAAACAAAGTACTGGAGAAACTCAAGTGATTTGGCAGCATATGTGAAGAGAAAAATGGATTTAACGGTTCAAGTACAATATGACTGTTCTTTGGCAGCTTGAAAAGAGCCTGGATCAGAGGTTCTATTCTGGCCTGCTCTTTCTCTGATCTTTGGTCTTATTCAACATGGCTGTCTGCTGTTAATGTGTAATCGTATTCCCAATAGCGTGGAGCTTTGATTATTAGTTTTTAATAGGTTTTCATCAACAGTAAAGGAAAAAATAACAGTAGCAGCAACTGCTTTGAGGGTTTAGTACAGTAACACAAAGGAAATGTACTAAAAATGCTGGAAATACTCAGCAGGTCAGACAGCATCTGTGGAGAGAGCACAGAGTTAATGGTTAAAGCATTTCATTCTTTTGAATGAAAAGATCTAAATCTGAAATATTAACCCGAATCACTTGCTTCCGGAACCTGGTGACCATTTCCAGCAGCTTTGTGATATTTGTGTCTTTCAAAATTAGTAGAGAGAAACAAAATTAGCTTTATTAAAAGCTAAATCTGAAGGCAAATCCTACCTGCTGTGTCAGTTAATTGCTGTTTTCTGTATGGCTGCTAATCCCAATGTATCAAAGGAAGATAAACTGAGGGAGTAAGAAACTGGGGTGGGGGTGGGGCAGTATCAGATCAAGGAAGGATCCGCAGAGAGAGCTCTTCCATTATTCAATGCTCTGCTAGTACTGCAAATTGCTATGACAATTGAATGTATGTACAGTCAAGCTGTAGTAGTGATTAAAGGCAGCTGATGCTAACTTTGGAAAGGTTAGGCCACATACATAGGAAACTCGGGGCTCCTTTGGTACAGTTGATAGTGCTCCTGCCTCTAGGACAGTTGGTCCAAGTTCAAGTTCCATCAACCCTTCAGGTGTGTCTTAACAAATGTGAACATTTTTGTTTTGAGAATAGTTTCAACCTGGTTGGGTCAGGGTCTGTGAAAGTGAAAAGTTGCCTGCACTTATTCTGTACGGATTATTGTGAAAAACTCATGGGGAAGACAGATCAGCTCCTGCTTCCTCTGCCAGGTGTGTGTTTACCAGATTACTATGCTAAAAATGTTTTATTGATTCTTCATTTAGCTAATTCAATAAATGTGTGGATACTCCAGTATGCTGAAGTGTTAGACTAGCAAATTGCTGTATACACTGTTTAATTGGAACACCAGTTTTTATATCCACTTTCTTGTCTTGAGATACATGTAGGGCTCATCTTCAAACATTTAAAATAAAGATGCTTAGTGAGTGTGGCAGCAGTATCCACACTGTTTAAACATTGAAATCTGTACAGAAGGTCTAAGTCAACCCTCAAATGGGTTCAAATCTGTTTCATACCACACTTAAGTTACATTCCAACTGCCGCAATGCTAACTCTCATTTTCTCCACGGGACCTTTCACCCCTTTTATTGCAGAGCTAGTTTCCAACTCCAGATTTATATTCAATCTTTAGTGCTGAGCAGTACTAATGTTTGTAGTGTAAATGCACCTATAGCTAATTACATCAGTGTACCTTGCAGGAGGTGAGCCCAGACCCTCAGTTCTAGGTACAATTGGCCTTGGTAACCAGGGGCTTGAAGGGAGAATTGGGCAGAAATGCAAGACAAAATCCAGTGACTGTGATTTGGAGAAGCATGTTGGTTGATGTCAGGGGAGAGTTAAGCTTAACTATGACTGACCCAGTCTTCAGCCTCCAGGAAAATAGTTGGTTGACAGTTACTCTGAAGAATAACCATTTCTTCAAAGCACCAGCAAGTTGCCAGAGTAGTAGAGAAAAAGCTCAGTGGATGTATATTAACTCTTTCAGAAAAAGTAGGGGGAGAATCAGATTAAAAAGAATGATGATGTCAATGAGAAAAGAACCCCTGCTATGTTAGGAAAAATAACTGGTAGCCTGCAAACAGAATATGCAAAATAAAGGTGGGAGGTCTCCTGATTGATGGGTCTGTGCTCTGAAGATGTCAGGTGCAATGAACTTAGATAATGCCAGAGGCACAGAGTAAGCTGAGACTGTCTAATACCTGCGGTATTGAAGGAGATGGGCAGGGCATAGAGCTTCCATAGAAACTGTGACAGGGTGAAGATGCAATTAGGAGTGATTTCATGCAGATTCTGGACAGTGAGAGAATGCAGTTTGGATTCAGTCTCAAATAGACAAATTAGAAATGGTATAATGAGAAGTCTGTCTGGAAAGACTATCTGTTGGGTAAAGTATTGAGTTTCCCTTTGGGTATTTTGGGTACAAATTAGAGGATAGTGTTTTGCTTTAAATGACCAGGTTTTGAGTGTGAAGGATAAAAGCTTTTGTTCTTGGAAAAAAGATAAACTGTTCTTTGAGTAATCTAAATCAAATTGCCTTCTTTGTTGACCAAGCTGGTTCTAAATGGGATTTCTTTTTTCCCTACAGGATGATAACATCAACTCTTTAACCCACTGCAGTACCTCTTTATTTCAAACATTTCTCTAAACAACTTTTCTTTCCCAACATCTCCCAACATCAAAATAACATTGAACAATTGATCAACTCGCAAACAAACCAAACTTAAGCTCAGCGAACATCCTGAAATGCACATTGTCCTGCACTAGGTCAAGTGAGTGCAACAAAGAAGGGGAACCATGGCTGACTCCTTTTCCCCCCCTCATTTCACTTCAGTATCAGTTACCAACTCTGTTCTCTGTTGAGTCAGTCTGACATTTTATCTTCTGCAACCACCGGTTCTTTGTCTTGTCTGCATATAGTACCATTTTCAGACAAATAGTTGCTGATTTATGGACTATTTTGTGACCTATCTCTACTAGGAACCGGACTGATGCCAGCCATAATCAATCCATAAAGCTCTTTGTAGGAGTGGTGTCAGAATTTCTTGCCTTGGCGGACCATTTGGTACATTCACTGGAGTCCCATTGGCGCCATATTATCAAGATGAGACTCACCTTCATACTTAGCTTTTTGATAAATATTAATTTTTGTAAAAGTCTGAGTTCACTTCCTTCTGGATCAGACAATGTTGTGTTGAAGTTTCACCAAGGGACATGAGTTCATACAGCTGTACTTTCCAAAGCTTTGACACCATTTTGAGGCTTTAGAGTTACAATGGCCCATCAGTGAATGGTGGTGGTAGAGGGGATGAGGGGAGAAAGAGGCAGAGAGAGAACCTATGAGAGCAGGTGAAGGACCTTCAGTCTTTGTTCCTTGGAATTGGGTTCCAACCCCCATTTGGAGGTCTTGTCATGCAGCTTGGCACATCAGTGTTGAAATCAGATGTGGCAAGATGGTGCATTTTAAATTTTCCGTTCTCTAATGTCCTATCATAACAAAACTATTGGACCTAGGATGATGATTCAGTTAGTTATTAAGGATCCTGTGACAAAATTAATATCAAGGAGTAACTTCTGGTGTCCTGCTCTCCAGTATTCAAACCAACACTATCATTCCTTTCATTCTTGCTTGTGGGATTTTGCTGTATGCAGAGTGGCTGCAACATCTGACTGCATTTCTTTGCATATGCAGGATTTTGAAATATTTGTTTGAATTTTATCATGGCACCTCATTGACACTTTATTGTCTTTCTGAGAAATACATATGTAACTCCTAAAAATAAATTCACTGCAATGGAAGGTGACGATGAGAAAAGAGCTTAACGGCAGAAGTTATTGGAGAAAGAACCAGCTGCAGTTTTGAAATATTAAATGAGCTTGATGGAATTAAATCTCAACATTAACCTCAGACCTTTCAGTGGTTCGCATTTATCGTTCTCATTTTAAACACTTCGATGTGTCATCTTTTTTTCTCCGTCAGACCATGTGTCATCTGCCTACTTCTCAAGTTGCTTTGACATTATCATACAATTGCAACCTCTCTTGGGGCTTTGAAGAAATTAACCAGCCACAACATTCTCCAGTGAGTTGGTAGTGGTGGCTGGAGTTGTGTATATATATGTCCTAAACAGGCCATCTCATGGTATTTTTCTTCAAAATGTAATAGCAATTCTGTTTTAGAATTCTTCATCATGTATTCTGGCCAAGAATTAACTGGCCGCCTGTAAGTGCAGATTTCTTTAAATTCAAGGTTGTCTCCTGGACGTGTTAATTTATGTCAGGCTAGAGTTCCATTGGCACCAGCTTCATTTTCTGACTCTGGCTGTGAGACAGTTCCATGCATTCTTGGGAATGTCATTGCTGCTTTACCCTGACACACTGCCATAGAATCATAGAATCTCTACAGCGTGGAAGCAGGGTGTTCAGCCCATTGAGTCCACACTGCCCCTCCAAACAGCATCCCATCCAGACCCAACCCCCTTACCCTATCCCTGTAACCCTGCATTTTCCATGGCTAACCCACCTAACCAGCACATTGCTGGGCACTGTGGGCAATTTAGCATGGCCAATCGATGTAATGTGGACAGTTTTGGACTGCGGGAGGAAACCAGAGCTCCCAGAGTATATCGGGGAGAATGTGCAAACTCCGTACAGACAGTCAGCCAAGACTAGAATCGAACCTGGGTCCCTGGTGCTGTGAGGCAGCAGTGCTAACCACCGAGCCACCATTATAGCCCCTCCTTTTTTATGACATCTGTTGGATTACCTTCTTCTCAGCCTCCAATTTGCCTCTCCCAAATGGGAATTCTTGAGGTTTGAGAGGAGAATGCAACAAACCCAATCCTTTACAAGTAATTACAAGAAGTTGTGATCCAGAACCTGAACACTGCTTGCTTTACACTTCTCCCTTTTTACAGTCCAGAATTGTCACATCCTAATTACTTTTTCAGTTAAGATAAAGTAACTTGGCACTAGTAGACAATGAAGTTACAATCTTCTCGATCCCTAACTTTTTCTAAGGACAGTCACTTTCTTTTGATGCCGTTAATAGAATTTATTAAAAGCTACATAATGCAAGAAGTTGAATGGGCAATGTTACTGCTCCTGCTGTGTTGTTTAATAAGATCACAGCTGATGCTCAATCCCTGTTTCTCTTTCCTGTCATATCTGATCCCTTGATTCCAAAAGATTATCAATCTGTCTTCAACTCAATCAGTGACTAAGCACCCACAGCCCTCAGGGTAAAAAATGGACTGCAGCAATTCAAGAAAACAGCTCACCACAGTCTTCTCAAGGACAATAGGATAGATAATAAAAGCTGGCCCGACCAGCAAAGTCCACATCCTATGATTTTTTTAAATTCTGAAAAGTTGCAAGAAATTTCTCCTCCTCTCTCCCAACATGGCTGACCCTTTAACTGGAGATAATACTCCCTATTTCTAGTCTCTTCTATGAGGGGAAACAAACTCTCAGCTTTACAAATTGTTTTGTGAAACAATGAAATGATTAATTTCTAACATTTTAAGTACTTTGATACTATTTTTTCCACAGTTTCAAAACTTATAAAAGTTTTCACCCAGTTAGTACATTTCTATGGCATCACATGGAGAAAGAACAACCATGTATAGTCAGCTGAACTGGGCACAGGGAATTGAGGAATATTTGCACTATGGAGCACAGATGTAATTCACTCCTTATTTTAAAGTGTAGTCTTACCTTACTTTTATACTTTAATTGTGAAATCCTACTTCCACTTTTGTCATGAAAACTTCCTGTATACCCTGCATAATTTGCGTCAGTTTCTGTTATAAAGTATAGAATAGAAATTTATAATGGAAAACATTAGGAGGTGTATATAAACTTAAAGATTTTTAACATTATTTTAATTTGTGTTCAATTAACCTTGTCTATGCTAATGTAGTTCTTTGTATTTATTTTCAGCTATGTGGTATATACTGGACTCACTGATAAGTTGTATGGCTGTTTCCTCTCAATACAAGGGCCCATTGATGAGCAACCTAAAATTGCCTCTTTTCTACAAAATGTTACAGCCCTGCTACACAATATGTGCCGACTTTGCTTTGCTCTTGTCAATCGGTAAGTAACTGAGTTATTCAATAAACACAATTTTTCTTGAAATGCATACAGAGTTGTCAATTCGTGTTTTTAAAAAATTAAAATGTTTCCAAATGAATTGTTAAGCTCCTGAAAGCCAGTTGTTGAAAGAAGAGGCCAGAAGTCAATCCTGATTTATTCACCAAGTGAAATATTACAAATGCGTATTTCAAACCTTCCAATCCACCCCAACAGTGTTAATAGGTGGTCCTTCGTATTCTTGTGAAACGTATGTCTCTTAAACACTTTTGAGCCAACTAGACATTTAGCCTAGTAACTAATGAACTGCCCCTTAAAGGGCACCGTAACAAAAGCAAACTGTGAATAAAACTTAACTTTCCTGAGGCTGATAACGCACACCAGCCCGTGTCGCCCACCAGTTTCAGAAGGCCTCCAGTATACTAGTTATACTGTATGCTCTATCTTCAAGGATACTTAGGCACAGATGTAACCACAAAAGGAAGGCACATCTTCTCAACCACCTGTTGTCTGGATCTTACAAGTGTGCTGAAGTAGTTATCTAATGAATGCCCTTCGACTGTATATCCCTAAACTATTTTTTTACAATTAGTATGAATATGTTTCATGAAAGTCAAACTCAAAGCTATTATTTTAGTGAATTCAGGCATCATCCATTGCCGTCATCTTGTCCCACGATCTAGACCTCAGATTCCATTGCCAAGACTATTTCAGCTTGGTTTCCGCTATTTTTCTGCCAAATTCTTGTTTCTCTGCTTCAACAGCAAATTGTTCTAACCCTGCTTCTGCCTTTATTCAGATCAACTGAGACCAGGAATTTAACCTGAGAAGCACTATTGAAGTAGAGTGGGTTGTGTCTTTACCCACTTGGTATTGGAACAGAATAAGAAACATTTTGTTTTGGGGATTTTTGTGGTAGATTTCTGTGCAGAAGTGATAATACATAGCCTCAACTATATTATCTTTATGAAGGACTGAGTTATTTAGTCAACTATCGGTTAGCTTGCTGTCATGTTTTAATGAGGGACAAATGGTGCTGTTGTCAGGCAATTTGAAGTATTTCCTTCAAAATTGTTCCAAATGTTAATTGTGAAGTTGCAAAAGGCAATACATCAAGTATTCTAATTGTTGCTTTGTATAAGTAAAAATACATTTGATATGGCTGGTCATTTAATGAAATTGTCATGTTTGTAAATAATGCACAAAGAACTGAGATCAGATTCCATCAACTCAGTTGTATGAAAATATTTACTCTATAGGTTTAAGCTCAGTGACAGGTAATAATGGATAGAGAAGCAATCACAACACTAACGGGAAAGCCTTGCATTTTAAATATGTGCTGTGCCTGCAGCTTTATGTGTCATGCTCTGCCAAATGCTATTTACCCTCTTGCACGCAAAAGACACTTTTTGCTTTTTTTTAAACCAGTTATGTCACCCTTTCTCTTTTCTGAAAATAGTCTTGTGGGCGCCAAACACAAGTTAATTTTCTTAAGTAACTATTCTCCATGTATAATGTAGTTAATTAAGTGTTCGCAGACAGTTTACTACTGTTGCAAGAAAACCCAATCCTACCTTCACCCAAGGTCTGCACATATACATTGTATCATTGGATTGTGATCAGAAACATCGGTTGACATTTTCTCTCTGTCTCAGGGCTGTAGAGACCAGCTGTGTAACCCATTTTTTAAAAATGGCTATTCAGCAGATGTAGACAGCATTGGCACTGGCTGGTTGTGTTCATTGCTCAGCTCTTGTCCTCAAGAAATAGAAGCTGACTCCTGTTAGAATTGTGCAGTATTTGTGGTGATAGAGCTTCCTTAATAGTATTAGACAGATGATTCCAAAATGTTTTAACGAAATGCCAATGATGAAAACTCAATATATGTCCATGGCTGTCGGAAAATTTGAAAATTATGACATTGTCATGTTGTTGCAATTCTCATTTTGGTTTAGGCAGTTGGGCTGTGATAACCATTAAAGTTCGTTTTGTGTGTGATATAGAACTGTTCCCACTGACATTGGTATCAAAGGGCAAGTATTCTCCTTTTGGCTGTCACCTGCTTTTCATCTTCCATTCATTGCATACACAGCTTGTTAAAAGCCTCCTCAATGTATATGGATTTATTTTAAAAATGTAAACATGAAGATACAAGTATGATATACAGATAAATGTTTGCCCACAGTTATCCGCTCTAATGAGAATCAGCTATGTACTTGCCTTTTGATTGTCTTGTTTTACGGTGACCAATTATTCGCAAAGATGAGGACTAAAAAGTAATATCTGTCAGGAATGTTTGAATAT